ACACTGTCTGAAGCTGGGTACCTGCCTTAGGAAATTTACATCCGGAAAGAATGTTAGGTGTGCCAGGTGTTAAGCAGAGTACTTAATTTTCACATTATTTAATGTCCTAACCAAAATACTTCAGATACATCTGTGTCCCCTAAGTATATGGAGAACTGAAATACATAAATAAATTATGGACACTAATTAATATAGACTAAGTTTGGGAATAATTTCTCTGGTGACGAACTCAGCTGCACAACAGAGGGTATATTTGCACAGACCATTTCACAAAAACTTAGACTTTTTTATAGTCTATGACAGTGAGAGAAGCTTACTGATGGGTTGCAGCATTACTTATATGACTTCTAGATGCCAGTCCTCATGGTCAGGCTATATAGCTCTGCCCAGGAAAAAAAAAAAACAACACAAAACACCAAAACAAACAAACAAACAAACAAACATACCATAAAGAAACACATTCTAAACATTTCTAAACATCAATGTAAAAGCAAATACTGACATGTGATGCATCTACCAACACATATTGAATAATTAAAATCCTGAGAGAAGGCACAAAGCTATTTGTTTGAAAAGACAAGATTGGAGAATGAAGGCTAGCAAAATGAATTAATGAGAGATAGATCAGCAGCTTGGTAATGAATAAATGATGCCAGGAAAGATCACCTATGAAAGGCCTTGAAACGAAACATGAATAACCTGCTTGGTGCAATAAAAAGTTACCACAGACTTTGAAAATGAGATAAGCAGCTGCATTCTGAAGAGATATGAAAGGCCTATAGCACATGTTCAGAAGACTGCGGAAAAAACACACTGACAACTTTATGAGATTTAGCTACCTGGAAATACAGCACCATAATGCATCTTAACATTATCATGCAAGATAAGTGAGAAAAATTCAGACATAGCTTGATTGAAGTATGTTTCCCATACAAGTACGTGGTGTCCAGGTCACTCAAAAAAGCTACAAGAAGAATTCTGGTATAATTGTGACAGGTCAATGGATGAGTTACAGAAATGAGAACCTGCCTTTAACCATGTTGAACACGAACCGTTTATTACTCATAATGCCACAGATATAATGACTGAGACACATGTCACCTAAGTTTTGATGTCTATGTCATCAGTGCCTACAGCTGAGCCAAGCCCATTAGCAATTGAATTTGTGTCTATGAACGAGGAACACAGAATGAAACAGAAAGAAAGGCATTCATATGACAACTGTTGATGGGGTATTAATAGGTTTTAAAAGGAAAGGGAATAGAACAGCAAAGTACTATTCCAAGGAAAAAAAAAAAAAGATTTGTTAATTTAGAGGCATCTTCTTCTAGCCTATCAATAACAGAGTTTTGTGACGCACAGAAGAATTAAGTAGTGGTTACCAAAGCACGAAAGCTCAAATTTCTTAACTGTGAAAATATATGGCAAACTTCAAAACTGGATGACAAAGCTCACTTTAGATTTGAAGGTCATTTTTCAACCTTAGGTATCAGAGTAAGAATAAAGATTCTATGTCTGGAAAAAAATGGATGCTGAGCGCTGTATTATTAAATTATAGTTGGAACTGATATTAGATGATGGGTGGAACAAAGGAGTTTCTTTTACTGGTTTTGACTTGTGGCTTTGCAATTTGAAAGAGTACAAGCTCCAACAAAGTATTTCCAGCAATTGGAGCATTTGAAAGAAATTTTCTTTTTTTTTTCTTTTATTTTTTTACACAGATTACCAAATGCCTAACAAGGTATGTGCTTGTATGATCACTGTAGGGTCTGTTTCAGCTGGCCATTTAAAAAAGTTGTAGAAACATCATTATATTTGACACTTCTTTCTCCACCTTCTGTGGAATCAGAGACAATACAAGTATTGTCTCAAAAAGTAAATAGGACAGAGTTCAGCTCGGAAATTTGGGACCCATGAGTTAAGATTAATTTGGCATTTTTAGCAGACAATGAAAAACTATAGGAACACTTGGAGAATGCCTGCTTGGTTTCAGCAATGTCTCTTTCACTGTAAGTGCCAAGAAGCAGATAGTGATAATCCCATGCCTTTCTTTCCCACCTCCCTGCACTCAGTCTCTCCCACCCCAGAAATGAGCAATGGATTCCCTCTGAATGGTCAAATATGACTTGGGCATGTTTTAAACAACTTTCAAAAGCATTTGAAAAGTAGTATCAAAAAATGCACTCTACAGAAGTTATTACATAACTTGTTAGGGATTCTTTGATAATTATTATATCCTTTTTTGGGTAACATTGTGAAAGAGTAAGGATAACACCTTAGATATTGAAGCATATGGCTTTACCTTAGTTCAATGTTAGGCAAAGTAAAACCTGATCTTTGAAAGATCCATTTCTTCCACACTGTACATGCAAGTCAAAACAATTAAATACTCAGGTAGCATGCCTTTTTTGTATGCAATTCCTAGACTCTGTCACCATAGAACATAGCTTCTAGTTTATGTGTGTTATGATGGAAGACATTTAAACCTGAGCTGATATATGAGCTCAAGTGTTTCAATTTTATGGTAGCGGACTTGAAGGTATCTTTGAAGGCTTAAGTATCATTTAGAAACTAATAATTTTGCCCATGACAAGACGAATGGTAGTAGCTCTTTAAAACTTCATCCAAAATGAAAGATGGCATAGGAACAGCTTTTCTGACCTACACAATACCTTTATCAAAGACTTCTTGGGAGCAAATATTATTTGCATACATTGACTACTATTATTTCTATTAACTTGCTTTTTTGTTTTTGTCACTTATAAGACAAAACCTGCTGTTGTATATGAATTCTCCAGAAAAAAAAGTCAGAAAATTCTGTGAGGAGCAGTTATGAGCATTATCTTTGTTGCATTCACTACAACACACCGAGGACTGTGACTTTCCTTTTTACTTCCTTCCTTTACAAAGGGCAGACAGCTATATAATCTAAAGATTAGATACACTACAGCAGATAAAAGTAGTTGCCGGACTGAATAGTCTGGACATGGCCAATACCACATAAGTAAGAAATCTTACAGCAGCAAAACTGAAAAATACAGCTCAGTTGGAAGACCTTTCTTAATTATTCTGAAGCTACTGGACTGCTCTCTACCCTGGAGTATGCAACTTTCATCACTCAAGAAACTGTTACATACGAATACAACTGCGCACTTTTACATATAGTTCCATAACTCAAATTTATTTCCATATACTTGAATTTACTTAAACATGCTGTTGCAACACCAAATGATGCTGTGCCCTGCATGTCAGTTATCACTGATCACTAATTTTTTCCTACCATTTTTAGAATTTCTGCCTGTCTTTTAATTACAAAACTTCTTGGTTCACTTTGTGGGTGGAAGGAAACAGAAACAGTAAGACCTCAAAACTGAGGGTATTTTCCCTTCATTTTATATAATAAATGGGACTTTATTTTCTTGCATAAACCTCTCCTTGAAAGCACTAAAGGACAGTGATGGTTATCTGGAAGGCTTATAACACTAGGAAAAGAACTGTGCAAGTAGGGTTCAAATAAATAAGTTGTGTTCAAGTTAAAGTGTCACAAATACAACAGAATGTTTTGGTATCTAACTAGCCTATTTTTCCATCCTTCAAAATCATTCTGAAATTTTGAAAAGTCATAAGGAAGAGAAAGAAAAAAAACAGGTCAGCATGAGGGAACAGTTTCAATGTATTTGTTTTTAAACAGCATAAAATAAGGATAAAATTATTTCTAGAGTACTAGAAAACCAATGCCATTATTTTCTGTCTTCATGGGATAAAACTAGCAGCAGTTCAGAACTGCTGTTTAACTTAATATTTTAATGAATTTCAGCATACTGTTATTAGCAGCTTTTTAATTACAATTGTTGTATACACACATACCAGTGAAATTAGATACTTTGCAGTCTTACAGTATTAAGGCTCTTAAATCATGCCAGTGCAGATGTTCCTAATTACTTTAAAGCACAAATACACAAATCAGTTGTTTACAGCTCCAGCATAATTCAGTTAAAGAGTTTTTACAACTGAAAAAAAATTAATAACAGTTAAGCATAGCTAAGATGGGAAATTGTTAGGAAATAATTATGTACAGTTTACATAAGGGAAGGAATTCAAGTCCATCTGACGCAAATAAGAAGCTGTGATTTGCTTAGGCAAATATAAAATACTGCCAAATGAAGGTGACACTATCAAAGACACATCAAAAACTGACAAAAGCATATACTTCTCAGCAGCAATCATCACTTTACAAACCCACATTACTGGGACTTAAAGTTTTTACAGGTCATTGTGCAGACTTTTGTTTTGGGGAGTTTTTCCTTTTTCTTTAAGCTGCCAAACAGAGTTTAACTCCACCCCTACTTTGTATTGTTTCTTGAAAAAAAGAAATAGGAGGTAATGTAATACAGCATTAAATCAACAAAGAAGCTGAAGCACACAAGCTGTGGATGCAGGCAGATCCTCTCCATGAGTAATATCTCTGGCAGGAGCACCCTTATGCACCCTTTCCTGTTGGGCTCTGGGCTTCCACAGGTAATAGTATAATGCCAATGTTTCTTCCAGAACAGCATGTTTTATAATGCAATTAGCATGTAGATATATTTTGTTTTCTATATGAAATAGTGAAACAGGTGGTCATTTAACAGATAAAACACAATATATACAACCATACACTGTGTGAAGAGACTTACTGCTCTTACTTTCTGTATTGTCTTTAAAAAATTGTCAGAATGATGGGATATATAGTAAAGTTCCAGCTCACAGAAATTAGCTACAATAACACAAGGCATTTCTATATGCATTTGAACAGCGCTATATGCACATAAAAATTAAGACTATGCATTTTTCCTTATATTTTTATTTAGATTAAGTCAACATTAGGTATACAAGAATGTCTTTGTTTTGATCAAAGCTTTACAATAATATTAAACAAGAAGAAAAAAGAGAGAAAGAAGAGCAGAGAAATCCAGCATAACCAAAATTAAAAATATGAATTTGAAATGAGTCCACTGTACCTTGAGTCACCTGTTGGATGGCTAGCATCATCCCAGAAACGGTATCAGGAATCAAGTTTTCCTTCCAATTGTAGACAGGCATCCATTTCAAGATGGGCAGCCTTCTCATACACCAGATTTTGATATCTTCAAAGCGAACAGCCTGCATCTTCCTGCAGACTGCATTTCTTTTCCTTTTTGCTCCTGTCATCTTCCCCAGCCCTCAAAAGCAGTTTCTCTTTTAGAAGAGTGCACAGCTGAGGAATCTCCCTGCTCGTTGTCAGTATCCAGTTCTCTTCAGAGATTTTGTAGTTCCAAAACTACACAGAAAAAAGAAACAATGAACAGAAGCACTTCAGATTTCTGCAGCTGCTAACTATACTCAATAAAAACACTTATTAAATGCTCAATCATATAAACAGCTACATGAAATGTAAGAACTGTTTATTTCCAGGATCACATTTTCTGCTCTTTGCAAAGAATTTGGTCCAGTCTCATGTTAGTTTGTGATTCTTTCCAGTAACCTCCTGCTTTATATTCACTGTAATGCTTGTGCTTTTGGCCTCAGTCCAGTGGCAAAATGAGGTATTACTGGGTGTGTGTGCGAAACAGGCTGGGCTATGCTAATATGAGCAGGAAGTGCCCAGAGGAGCAGGCATCTCCCTGCCAAGCCTTGCCTCTTCTAGAAGATCTTTTCTGGGTGCTGATGGAAGACAAGAAGTCCTCAGCAGCCCTGGGGCTAGCAAACTTGGTTTAGTCCATCACTGTTCTGTATTCTAAATGACAGCAAAAAGATTATTTATTTAGAAAACACAGAACATCAGGTAGCAGTAAATCCTGCTGAAAATGCACATATTCTGTCTGTAGAAGACTCAGACAAATGTGTAACAAGCTGAAAGGGTAGTGAAGACTGCAGCTATCAGCTCCATATGGCATCATTCTTCTTCAAGGATACTCCTTTTTGCTCTTGGCAGTCCATCCAGCAAAAGCTCTCTCAACAAAGACTGTTTACCAAGTAACTTCTGATCTTGTAATAATATCATGCACCTTGTGTATGGTACAAAGTGCTCAGATGCAAAGTGATAAGAGCATGGAAGAACTTTAAAAGTTATTAAGCATTTAAATGCTTTGTCCGATATGAAGCAAGGTGGCTTTCCTCCAAGTGTTTTTGTATCTCTGAATTACAAAGAAATTTAAGTTAAAGTGTAAGACCCATCATATGAGTAAAATGTCTTCCCAATCACTATTTAGCAGACAGCAATAATTTTTTTAATATTTTCATTTTATTTATATAAATTACTTTATATTTTATTGTTTAGTTTCAGATTAACAGAACTGAAGCTTTGTCCATCCAAAACAACTTCAGAAAACTGAGACTTTGTTACCAGGTGCAATAGGGAGAAAAGCACAAGGACACATGCACCACAGTTCATTCTGCTGAGTGGCATGCAGGTGGTGTCCACTTTTGTGTCCGTTATAAGCGCAAAGGGAAAAAGAAATAACAGGAAAAGATTGCTTAAGGCAGACCCTCACTTTTAACTATCCCAAGCATACTTATTCTTTGCCTTGCTGATCCTTTTAACTATGTACATTTTTCAAAGAACAGAAGAAACACAACACAGATTTCTCCTTCTTACTTCTATTAAAGAGAATAAACCTCTGTGCATCTATTCTGTTCTTCTCTTTTTCTTTTTTCCTTCTTTTTTTTTTTTTCTCTTTTTTTTCTTTTGATGTGGCATTTCTGGTCCGGGTTTTGTTCGTGTGTCCCTGCTTTTAGCTCAAAAGTGCAGTTCAAGGACTTCATAATCAAGGCTTTTAGAGCTACCAAGTGTTTTACAACACAGACCTTTCCCTACTTTCAATAATCAGAAATAGGAATCTTTCTGGCTACAGCAGGAGTTACTCAGCTGTCAGGGACAGCTTAGTATATATAAAATGTTCAATACTTCTAAGTATAATAGCATTTACTGGGGCAAAACCAAAACATTTCTACACATAGGTACATAAGTATAAAAATGTACATCTGTACAAATACCCAAATATGGGCATTTGTACCAAATAAATACCCAAATAAATACCCAAATATGGGTATTCCTGTAAAAGAAACTGGCCCTCTTTTTTCTTTTTTTTAAATATGGCTCACTAGAAGCTCTGAAAATTCTGAAACAGTGAAAAAAAAAAAAAGACATTACAAAGCCAAAGAACCATCTCTAAACACTCAAGAACATGTTTTCCATTCGCCAAATTTTTCACATCAAAACATTGAGGCTGTTTGAAACAGTATGTAATTGAGATTTTCCCACCTCATATTTGCAGAGTCATCAATCCCAGATTAGTATCTGAACTCCTAGGATTAGCTGTATCAACAGACTTTTGTCCCTCACTGACAACAAGGGATGGTTTCTCTCTATGGGTGTGTGCATGCATGAGTGCAAACATCTTATAAATAACACTTGAAAATAAGTCCTGTTAGATACAGACAGAACTGCATGTGCAAATCTTTGGGATGTTTTTGCTAATGTGGAATTTGTCCTGAAAATTTGTTTTACTCCAACAATTACTTTTATGAGTAAAAAATTGCATTATCATTAAATCTGGAGTTGATATCATCAGTAGTCTTGAAAATCATTGTTCCTTGTTATAACTTTAAAATTAAGAAAGTACCCTTAGTTAGCAATGACACAAAGCAATGCATCACTTACAGCCCTCCAGACAAAGAAATAAAAAATTTTAAGGGAAAACAGATGTACAGGTATTCATAACAACAAGCTTGCACCTCCCTAAGCAGTAGCCCAACATATAAACTTTAAAGAAACATGAAAGACACTTTCCCAAACCACACCAATAGCCTGAAATACATACTGTGTCACACACACACAATGTTTAAAAGTTTTCACATCAGGAGGTTTTCATTAGCCTATAAATCTATAATCTATGAACTCCCAGACCATGCAGACTTTTCATACTTCAAACTGTGTCAGAATGCACCTGAGCTACCAGAACTATGAGAAGATCTCCTTTTCTAAAATAGGTGCATAAAAGTTAGTACTCTGGGACACCAAAAGATAAGTTTGAGAAACATTTGATTTTATACATATAAGTCAGTGTATTCACACATAGTGTTGTAAGGTTAGATGTTTACCAATTAGCTCTTGTGATGATCTTACATAAGTAAAGCCTATTTTCAAGTGATTAGACAGGGTTTTTTTCTGGGAAACACACAAAAGTATGATTCTAGTAGTGTGTATATGCACAATGTTAAAAAGATAACTACCATAAATCAAAATTTCAAATACAGATCATATATAAAAAGAAAGAATTACTGCATCATAGATCAGATCTGGTGGGCTTTTCAAACCTGATTTATAACAGGTTCCATAGAAATGATGTGGGCATAGAAACGGGGTGACACTATTTTCATCAGCTCCTCTAATATTGACATACATTGGGTTTTTAAATGTATGGTGGATACATGGAGGTAGCAGGTTTGATTCTCTGGTTCTTGCCTCAAAAGATTTAAAAAAATAAAATATCAAAATACAATCTAACACCTTACTCCTACTTAGATCTCAAAAAGAAAAAATTCTGTCAAACTCTGAGATAGAAGTCCTAATCCTCACTTTATATGGAAGCAGCTTTGGTAGTTAAACACTGTGCTCTTGCTCAAGAGCTGGTTTTAGTCTCCACATAAGCTGTCAGGAAAGCTCAAGAACTGTAAGACCTATACTTCTGTTTACATATGCTCAAAGAAATGAAGTTATTCATACCTTGGGCAGACATAGGTGCCATGGTGGAAATAATGTGACTTATTCTTTGTAAGTTTTCTTGGAAAGACAGACCACTTACTGAATATCTGCAAATATCCAATATTAGACCAATTTGGCCTAACTAAACCTGTGTTCCTTCTGATGTGTGTCATTTGCTCCCCAAGAACTTCTAGTGCATCCAAGTCACTTCCCCACATCCTTCCACCTATTTTCAGTGGGCAAGAAAAAGTATGTGTTCTCATTAATTATAAGCTACATGCACCTTTCTGGCTGGCTGGCCATTGCCAGAATTATATATGATTGAGCTCTGAATATGTACTGAATATATAATGATTGAACTTTTCTCACCTATTCTTCAGTGGAGAAAGTGATTTCCAACCATCCTTGCCCTCTATCCTGAGCAACAATCTCTATGAACTCACTTTTGATACTGTTGTCTTTCTTTCAAATACAGTTCACAATGGACAAAGGATAAGAAGATACTAGCTGAAAGAATTAAGAAAAAAAGACTGACAAAAATCTTAGTCACACAAAGCTTGTGACTTTAGGAAAGACAGCTAAAAGTCCAAGCAAAATCCTAGGAAAAATTCCAAGCAAAATCCTAGGAAAAATTCCAAGTATATTTGACAAAGCACAGCTGGATGGGAATGGAAATCAGATTTAAAGTAAGGGTGATAGCTACTAGTTCAAAAAGACAAAAAAAATGTAGTTCGTACATCACAGAACACAGCACATGGGAATATTACACAGTCTACTGGAATGATAAGAGATTGCTGACAAATGGAACAACAACAACAAAAAACACAACAACAACAACAAAAAAGCATTCTTGAAGTTTGAGAATTTGTAAAAAAAAAAAGGTTATCAATCACATGTATTACATAAGCCCAGCTGGGATTAAACTTCCCCCTCTAAAATTCTGGTGCATTAAAATCAAACCAAATTCACAAATTCCAAAGCTAGCTAATGTGTCTTCCGCAGTTATATGCAATGCAGTTATTTTCAGTAATACATAACTTTAAAAGCACTCCTGATTTCAATCATCAAATATTTAAATGCGGACCTAAATTGAAAAAGGTATGATTCTTACCCTTCACAAAACAGATTAAGCTAAAATCTCCATCCCTTCATCATGCAGGACGTTTAGGACCTGCTATGGTGACAGAAATAACTCTTTTGTCAAAGAGTAATCCTAATTATCACGAGATAAAGGTGAGCATCCAGGCAACACAGAAGTCAGACCTGACTCAGATGGCTTGGGCTGGACTTTAACATCTCTTTGCAGCACCGTTAATGATGCTGGGCGGCAGGAAACTCTGTGAAGCAACACTGACATCGAGTGGCTTTGCTTGGTATTTGCCACACAGGTGCTAATGAAGAGAAAAACTTTATTTGGAAACTGTTAAACAATTGTAGAACATCTAAAATGAACATAAGAAACCCGTTAGTGTCTATCTTTTTTTAGGAAAACATCTGTAAAGAAAATGTAATTTTTTCACTCTATTTTAAGGTTATTTCTCCCAGCTCTTTGAAGGTTACTTTCAAATT